CGTGTAGTGCCCGTCCACCTTTCTGATGATGTCTGCCTCCGCGCACAAAAATGAGATGGGCATCACTGCCAACGCCGACGGCCAGAAAGGCCCGCGCATCTACATTTTCCCGCCTGACCCCATCAGTGCCGACCCAACTCCACCACCACACGCACGCCTCGCGGCGGATGCGCAGCAGCAAGAAGGTTTCGGTCATCCCTTGAGGGTGAGTCTAGCCCTGCTCGCCAGAAAGACCCCTTCGCTACAACCCATGTCTAAGCAAAAGCTTGTCGAGGAGCGAGGGGAAGAAGGGAGAGTCGAAAAGAGCGAGATATTTCCTGCTGATTAAAACACGCCTTCCTGACTAGGGTGCGTCGCTAGCAACACATGAAGATGGTGTGAGTGGACAGCCATAAAAAAAAAACTTTCGAAGCGGGGAAAAAGGCGAGAGCGAAATCACCCTGGAAATTAGTGTGGAAAAAAAAAATCATGTGTACAAAGGTGTAGCGAGCTTCTCAGTCCTAACGCAACGCGCTCGTTGATACCGTGATACGACCAACAGGGATACTCTTTGATTTTTTACACAATTCGATCGGGGTTGATCACACGTTACGGTGTCCAAGCCGCTCGACAACATGGTGACCAAAATCAACCATGCGAACCCTACAATTGTACCATCGAACACCCTTGCGGCAGCACCTGTACGTGTATGCATGTCAGAGCCGGGTCTAGAAAGAAACTCGTTTTCGTTGCGAAGAATGGCTTTCAATCGATTTCCGGGTTTTAGAAATCATTATACAATTGGTGGAACAGCTGTTTGCATATACGCACATCGTTTACATGCTCACCCCCTGTGTACTGTAGACATTGGGGCGACAAACGTTCAGCACGATTATTTTTTGCAATGATTGAGAGTGGACTCCCACGCCAACAGAACACGACAAAAGTCCTGGCCCATGGGTTAGACCGCTTTCTCACGCCAACAACAACTCACCATGTGTGTTTTCAGCGCCGAAACAAGGCGAAACTTGTAACTGCCGTAGGTTACACATATAGATGTACGATGTGGTGTAAATATTTTTCCTAGCATTTTAAGGGATGCCGAGGCGGCGACTCTCTTGTTTAGTTAAGCGAACATGTCCTACGTTCACATGTACTCGATGCTGGACATATTTTTGCGGAGATTCGGGCAACCGCAGCTTCGACTCTAGACTGCAGGTAACATGCCCCAGAAAACCCTTTGAGTAGGCATAACAAGGCAACTATGCATCCTGCACAAGGAAAAGGTTCCACACCAACAGCGATCGCCTTCCGTGTTCTGTGTTTACAGGTACTGACAGCGGATAACTGCAACTTGAGGCTTTGGAAGCCTTCTTTCAGTCTTTCAGACAAAAGTTGCTGCCGAGGATATTCAGCATGACAGTGAAAGCATCCACTTTGTTCCGATACACTGGGCAAAGACGCAGAGCCGCGAGACAAGCATCGGAAATCAGCAAATCATCATGAAGATGCACGTGACATGTGCGCACAGCTCCTGTGTTGAGGCAAACATCAAACCTCATCGTGCGCGCTTTGCCTGCCAGGTGTCATACACGCATAACTTATGTAGTTCCCACCTGAGTTCCACCTAAAGACAGACTTTGCAAAAACCGCGCAGCCCACGCTCGCAAACACGATTTCTTGTCCTGCCTCACCTTGACCTTCCCCTGGTGCGGGTGAGCCTCGGCTGCCGCGCTCCCCTGCGCTACACCTGGGAGGAACAGCATGGAAGCGGCGGCGATGGTCGCAGCCGCAAGCTTCAAGCCTCCATTTCCTCGTCCATCTTTCGCTCCCCTGCGAAGCGTAGTGCCCGCCATATTCCCAAGGACCAGGGTACTGTTGACCACTACCTGCGGTTATTACCGATGAAGACCTTGCTTGTTGTCGCCAGCGAAGATCAGGCGGGTGCGAGCCCACCCACGCTGCTCGAGTAGGTGATAGACGGGGGTGCTAATGCATCCACGGAGCCCCTCCCGAATCGGCATTGGTCTTGCCGCGTCGCCGTCCTCAAATCCTCGCCTCGACACACCGCCTACAGCTGTCAACCGCCGCTGTCAACGGGGTTTGACGCCAGAATATCAGGTTGAGCTAGTGTGTTGTGCATGCCAGCCTTTATCTGCACAGAGATCCAACACCAGGAGGTTCACAGATCGAAACCTTTTCGCATATCCAGACCCCAGCGAGGACGTGTACAACAGACCTGGTAGGGTAGCCGCACCCAGATTGAAAGCGAATCGGTGACACAACGACAGTGCTAAGCCACAGCTAACGACACCTTCATGCTCGGCAGCACTTTGAAGTTGTGAACAGGAAAATCTCGTGGAGGCCACCAACAGCGGTAGCGTGTATCAACAACAAGATCCCCCCGGCTGAGCCCGAAGAAATGCCATGATTTACAGTGTAGTGTACCCGTTGCTCTGGAGTTGTACCGGGGATTCCCTTGGGCGGAGGAGGCACTACTCTGCGTACACCCGCCACACATCGCGATAACGTTCTGTACAAGCACCAAGAGGGCGCATCGTCGGGCTGTACGTGTAGGCAAGTAGCTCTCTGTTCTGGGAGTACAAGTCAAAGGCGACGGTCGGTGTTGGTTGACCGCTGCGTGATTCAGCTACCCTGCGACAATGGGTGAAATGGTCGGCGGCGCGGGAGGAGGTGGAGAATCGGTACGTGTCATCGTTCGCCTCAGACCCGAGGAGCAAGAAGGTGGCGTTCTCGCGGGCGGAAAAGACTTGGCTGGCTCGTGCATCCTGAACGTGGAAGACCAGAAGTTTACCATCGTGGACCCTGGACGGCGCAGCAGCAGCAGCAGCAGCAGCACCCGCAGTGGCAGCGGCGGCGGTGGCGGCGCTACTGCCGGGGCTGGGGGCGGGAGGAAGGCTGAAGATCAGCACCAGCAAGCACACGACTTTTCGTTTGACCGGGTGTTCGGCCCTGACTCCACCCAGGACGACGTGTTCGAGATGGTGAAGCCGCTTGTGCACGCAACCGTCGATGGTGAGACTGGAGGATAGTGGTTCGTGGGGAAGAGCCTTTTTTCGGGAGGGCGATAGAATTGTGTGTGGCAACTCGACGAGTATCTTCGGGTTTCCTGTCTGAACCTTTCCATTTTTTCAGCGGGTAACAATCAAGGTAGACACCAAGAAGACACTCGATGAGCACACAAGAACCGGGGGACCCCAAAAAACAAAGCATGAAAAATGAAAGAAGAACGAAGCGAGAACAAGAGACAAGTGCGCCAGACGCGACAGGCTTCAGGGTGGAGGCAAAAGACAGCATATTTAGAAAACCACCGTCGTCGTAGCTCACTCTGGACCGCCGGAAGCTCTCACATAGCACTGCATATGCAGCAAACAATAGATAGGGCCCAAGTCCACTGCTTGACATATAGAGGCAGCGCCCATCGCTTCACGTTCAGCAGCCGGATGCACGGGTAGCCTCTTACTCAGCAAGAAGAAAAACGACTGCGGTTAACGTTCGATATTCTTGGGACCCCACTGGCGAAAGGCCAGAGAGGGAGAGAGAGGTAGACTAAAAGAAGAGAGCGGAGAGAAGACAAGACATTAACGCTCGAGGAGACACTCACTCTCGTCCCACTGGCCCACCGCAGGCTGTCAGACTTGTGTATCGAACTCCAATTTCCGATGTGGGCTCAGCACCAAAAAAAAGAACAAAAAATAAAAGTCGCCGTTTGCGAACTGGACATTGTTTCTTTTGTGGTATCTAGGAAGTGAGAACTAAAAACGACACTTTTATAATCTCAATACGCTAGCCGTTCGCGATAGATGTGCACCGCTGCACGAACGAGCAGACTGTTGGTTATCATACCTCACTGCGTAAATAAGATTGTGCTGCCATCTACCTTATCGCTCAAATTACGACTACGCAGCAGATTCAAGGTAAGGCAGCAACACGCTTTCCGATGCATACCACGCATGCATGCAGAAGAATATGAAAACACCATGGCGGACCGTCTATTGTTGTTGTTGTTGTTGTTGTTGTTGTTGTTGTTTGTCTCTTCAACTGTGCTGCCGTTGCTCTTCATGGATAACGACCCTGGGAAAGAGTAGGAGACGCGCATCGCCTACGCCAGCAACGCGTGCAGCCTGAAACGACAGAGACGATAAGCTTACGTCCTTTGCAGCAGATTCCGAGCATATAATGCAGCAACCGCATGTGCACAGCAGCAGCCGCATGTATGTGTACAACGGTCACTCAGGAAGAAAATCACAAGTGCAAGAGAAAAAGTTGTAGCACGCAGCACGCAGGACCCCCTTTCGTTGTTCAACCGGCCGTTCCCATGGCGAAACAGACAGGGTACAGTCAAGGCCGACTCTTGCCGGCCACAGGGGGCGGAAGCTGCCCAAGCTAGGGGAGGGGTCATGAGTTGCGATTCCCTACCGATCGGATATCAACGAGAAAAGCTTCAGAATTGATAAAAACGTGCGGGGCCCAGTTAAAGACATGGCAAGAAAACACCCCTCCAACAAAAATTAAAACCGAAATGATGGGTGGGTGGGTGACCGGCGGACCTCCAAAAACAAAGCATGAAAAATAGAATAGAAAAGAGCGAGAACGAAAGACAAGTGAGCCAGACGCGGCACGCTTGAGGGAGGTGGCAAAAGGCAGTAGCACAGAAAAGCCATCGTCGCGGCTCTGAACTGCTGGAAGCTGTCACATAGCACTGCATGCAGCAAACAGTAGGGACCATGCCCATTGCTTCACGAAAAGAGGCAGCGCCCATCGCCTCACATGCAGCAGCCGGGCACACGGATAGCCTCTTACTCAGCAAGAAGCAAGACGATTGCGGTTGGCGTTCGATGTTGTTGGGACCCCACCGTCGAAAGGCGAGAGAGAGACAGGTAGACCAAAAGAGGAGAGTGTCGAGAAAGCATTAACTCTTGAGAAGACACTCACTCTCGTCCCTGTGGCCCAACGCAGGCTTTCAAACATGTTTAACGAACGGAGACATCCGATGTGCGCTCAGCAACAACGAACACAACAAACAAAAAATAGTCGCCGTTTCCGAACTGTGGAGACTTTCATTCATTTGTGGTACGAAGTGACAACATCAAAGAACATGATAATTAGAAGCCCCACGGACGAACTATTATCTCAATGCGCTTGCCGTCGCGATAGATGCGCACCGCTACACGAACGACCAGTCGTCAAACCTCATTACCCAAATACTATTGTGCTACCCTCTACCTTGTCGCTCAAATTACGACTACGAAGCAGACTCAAGATAAGGCAGCAACACGCTTACGATGCTTTACCACCGATGCATATGCAGCAAGAAAATAAAAAACTAAGGTGGACCGTCTCTTGTTGTCTGTATCTTCAACCACGCTGACATTGCTTTTCTTCATGGGTATCGACACAGAGCAATAATTGAGGGATGCGCATCTCCTACGCGAGCACAGCGTGCAGCCCAAAGCGACAGAGACGATAACCTTACGACCTTTGTAGCATATTCCGAGCATAACAGAAGCAACCGCATGTGTGTACAACAGTCACTCAGGACGAAAATCACAAACGAAAATAACAAAGGTTGTGGCGGGCAGCACGCTGGGCCCTCTTTCGTTGTTCAACCGGCCGTTCCCATGGCGAAACAGGCAAGGAACAGTCAAGGCCGAGTCGTGTCGGCCACAGGAGGTGCAAGGTGCTCAAACTCTGGGAGGGGTCATGGTTTGCGATTCCCCACCGAACCATACTTGAGGCGCCACGAGATTTGCAGTGTAGCCCGAGATCAGCATTTAAGACCGGGTCGGGCCAGGGGTGGGGGGTGCGAATGAAAGTTCCACCCACCCACCCACGGATATCGAACGATAGCTTCAGTCTGTTTGAATGTGCATGTACGCTATGCTTGTGAAAATATGGAAACTAAGTCGTTGTTTGCCATGCGTACACAAGAGCGGGATCAACAGGCTCGGACCACGGCACCGGGATACCAATAGAGACACTCCCGCCACACCAACTGCAAGCAACACAAGAGCCGCCCCGTCTCCCATTTCCTCTGCGCGCATTCCCTGAAAACACGACACGTCCCCATCTGCACCAAGGTTTTACGACTACCGTATTCGCCTACGGCAGCACCGGCTCTGGGAAGACGCACACCATCAGCGGGACAGACGAGGACCCCGGTGTGCTGCCACGCGCCGTGAGGCTGCTGTTTGAGCGGCTGGACTCGGATATGGCGGCCGGTTCGGACAAGGCCTTTATGGTTTTCCTGACGTGCGAAAGACGGGTCTAGCTGAGGTTTAGGTTTAGGTGTTGTGTTGGTCTTTGGTCTCAACTTGGATTCTTGTTCTAGACCCTCTCGCCGTGGAGGGGCCGGTTGAGAACTGCAGCCTGTATGAAACCTCGCGTTCGTGGTCTATTGATCAACGGGTTGAATTAGACCAACTTGTCTTTGCGTTATTTTCACGTTTGGGCAGCTGTCCACCAAACTACCCCAGCTGAAAGCACCCGTGCTCCCATTTTTTTCTTGCACCACAACCCCGGCTCCGTACGGATCGTCTGAACCAACGGACGTGACCAGGTACGTCGAGATCTACAACAACGTGTTCCACAACCTGTTGGAAGGCGTGGCGGACGGCACCTCCGGCAATAGGCGCGGCAAGAGCTCGCACAACGGCGGCGCCCGCTTGTCAGCAGGCAGCGGCGGTGGCACACCAGCGGCGCAACCAACAACGATGCCCCCTCCGCCGCCCTCCACCAAGATCGAGGTCCGCGAGCACCCTTCGAGAGGCGTGTTTCTCTCGGGGGGAAAAGGTCTCCGTGTCCCCGTCAGTTCCGCCGACGCCGTCGCCGGCCTCGTGGCCCGCGGTACAAAGTCCAGGCGGACGGCCTCCACGGGCTTGAACGACCGCAGCAGCCGCAGCCACGCTATCATGATCCTCGAGATAGAAGCGACGCACTCCCCCCCCTCGGCGGCGGCGGTGGCGGCCGCGGCGGCGGCCGCTAGAGCTCGGGGGGACGCTGTGGGCGGCCCTTCGTCCTCCGCTCCGTCTGGAGGTCTCGGGAGTAGCAATCCTGTAGCGGGGGGCGTCGGGTCACTTGGGGTTGCGAAGGTTGGGGCGGGCAGACGAGGAGGCGGCGGAGGGGGGGGAAGAAGGAGGTCCATCGTAGAGTGTGTCAGCATCGGAAAGATGCAGGTGAGTACGGACGCGGAGAAGTGCAGAGAAGGAGGGAATGAAGGGCTCTCAGGAGGGTGGCCGCAATGCTATGTATAGCCAGCACCATGGTGGGTGTCTGTTGATGATACGTACGTATCATCGAGATGAAATATCTGGCACTTGGGGCAGGGGGGGCACGTGATTCCACGGGTAACGTTTCTCAACCAAAGCTGACATAGACCAGGGTGGATATCTTGGTGAAATCTTACACCAGAGAGGTGGTGCGGCCACAGAAAAGAGGAGCTTACTTCCCCTCCCCTCGCCTTCATTGACTCCTTTCCTCGCGCGATGCTCTCGCTGACATACCATCCATCTTCCTCCACCAACTCATCTTCCTGCCCCTCCTGCTTCGTCTCCTGCCGTGACCCGTCCTGAACTGGTTTCGGAAACGATGAAGCTGATCGACCTGGCGGGGTCAGAGCGAGTCTCCATGTCCGAGGTGGAAGGGTCATCTCTCGTCGAGGCGCAGAACATCAACTTGTCCCTCACCCTGCTGGGTGACGTCCTCAACTCTCTCTCCAAGTACCACCGCGCTTCCGCCCGTTCCTCTTCTGCGGGAGGGATGGAGGGAGCTGGGTCGTCTTCTGGTGCTCCACCTGCGGGCAGGGGCCGGGCGGTCGGCGAGAAGCCCTTCGTCCCATACCGGAACTCCAAGCTGACGTACCTGTTGAAGGACTCTCTAGGCGGGAACTGCAAGACGCTGATGGTCTGCGCCGTGAGGGCAGCGCCGGCGTTCTTCCAGCAGACCATGATGTCGCTAAGGTGTCCGTCTTTAGGTTCTGTGGGCGGGTTGTTGAGGAAGTTTCTCTCGGGGGCGGGTGCTGAGGACGAAACGAACACCTCGCAAGGGTGGTCGCTTGGGCGACTCTGCGGTTGGGTTTGGTTGCCTGGTTTATGTCTCGCGGTAATGTTGATGTACAGCAGCGGTCCACGCTCAGAGTGACGATGTCGTTTGGCGTTAGAAATAACATATGGGGGCGAAATATCGGTCTACCGTCGTGCGGGTTTCGAAAGACGATGGGGGACATATTTGGTCAGCTGCCTATTTCATCTGCTGCCGCAGCATGCTTTCTTTTGCCTGCCCGCGCTGTGTGCCTGGTAAGGCGGTTGCTTGACAACGGGAGTCATAAATTGCCCTAGCAAAAAATGGGGTGGTGTTCCTGGGAGGAGTGATCGCATCCATCGAATGGCTAAAACAAGGTCCAACTTGTTGCAGAACTGCAACAGTCGCAACTTCGTCCGCTTCTCGATCTTGGTTGTGATTGGTTGCACACGTTGTCAGATACGCAGGGCGGGCTAGAGACATCAAGAATGTGCCTCACCGGGTTCTCGAGGAGGGGGGCGGCGGAGGCGGCGGCAGTCGCAGCGGCGGCGGCGTTAATGGCACCTCGCTGAGGGGCACGGTGGATGAGATCGAGAACCTTCGAACCAAGCTCGTCGAGACGACAGCGGTGCGCGTCCGATACTCGCACCGAACCGAGGGTGCAACGTGTTCTGTCCGACTGAATGCCTTTCTTGTTACCCTTCTTGTGCTCCAAAACGGTAGGTCTGAAGTATTGTCTATTACAGCTGTCAATAGGAGAAACACGACAAATTGTTGTTCTGGTTGACCCCACCATCCCAGAGAATAGCGTCAGCTCACCCCTACATCGCCCCCCCCCCGCCTTGTGACTCTTTCGCCAAGCTTCCCCTAACGCAACAATCGATCCAGTTCGGTTCGCGGCCCCCTCCCCCCTCCCTCCGTTCCCCCCCCCCCCCACCCCACCCCAACAGGAGTTTGAGCGGTTACGAGGCGCGACGGCCACGGGGGAGTCAGAGAAGAAGGCCCTGCGAGACCAGCTGAAGGCGCTGGCAGAGAAGAACCGCTGCGAGAAGGAACGCATGGATGAGCTGCTGGCGGGGGTCATCCACAGCCAGCGGGGGGAGCTCGAGAAGCGGAAGGCGGAGTTCGTCGATCTACAGGCAAGGGAAATGGGTCTTTCCAGTGCTACTAACAGGGAGACGGGAGCGAGGGGGGGAGATTAACTGTGGCTGGGGTTCAAGTCTTGGCTACAGGTCATCTGGGAGGCTGATGCTAAGTTTAGGATGTTGCCGAAAAGGCTGGGGAGAACCTCAGTAGGGCAAGAACCAGAAGACAATATTTAGCCGTCTTGGTTTCCTCCAGTCCAGTTTGTGCTTGCAGCCGGCACAAGCAAGCACTGTTGTGCTGACGGGGCGATGCCTCCACCAACTTTTAATAACGAAATCGATCCAATAATTCAAGTCGATCCGTCTACTATAGGACACCATGGACTCGCATGCGGAGACCATCGAGAAGCAGAAGGAGAAGATAAGAGACCTGCAGACGGAGAGAGAGGCCGCGGCGTCTGCTGCGTCTACCGCCATAGACCAGGTTCGAGGGAAGCAGAGTAGGATGGCGTGGTAGGGAATTTCACCGGTTTGACGCCATGGTGGCCGAGACGCGCCAAAGCACGCCCGGCGGCGAGACCCACTGGCAGAAAAGTAGAGGGCTTGGTACCGCCTTCAGCGAAGCAGCGGAGGGGGCAGAAAACAGGTAGCTCGACGACTAGAGAAACGACAGCGATGGCTCAAGCACGATAGCATTGCCCCGCGACGATGGCGATGGCAACCACACCGACATCCCGACAAACAACAATGACAACATTCACAACATCAACATCAGCATCAACAACGACAGTAGCAGCAGCGCTACAGTAGTAGCAGCTCTGCAATTGGCCTGAACACTACTCCACCGTAAAATACTATGAACCCTTGTGAACCTACACATACGCCTTTCGCGGTGTTTGATCCCCAGGCCCAAGAGCTCAAGCAGGCTCTGGAGCGGGCCGAAAAGGTCTCGTCGGAGCTCCGCGACGAGGTGTCAAGAATGCGGGCGAAGGGGGAGCTGCTGCGCATCGAGAAGGACAGTTCTTCGGCCCGGGTGACCCGCCTGGAAGAGGAAGGGAGGGAGAGGGAGACGGCCAGGATGGCAGAGAAGGAAGAAGTGGTAAGTTACTTCTTTTGCGCACGCTCACCTCAAGCGATGTAGAACCGCCCAAGAGGCAGAATACATTAGAAAGCGCCGATAGGAGAAATTGAGTGGAAATTATCCAATGGCATATCCAACTTGTTTGGGTATATTGTGAGAGGGTAGCGATTGCTCTGGCCAGGTATATATTCTGGAGCGAGAAGGTGGTTTGAAGACTATTACCTCGTTCAAACGTGGCTTGAAGACTAAGACCTAGGTCAAGCCCAAGATCGAAACATGTGGAAGACCTTCCACGTTTTCCCAACAAGGGACGAATGCTATCACGAAAAGCACATCTCGAGGCGTCCGTAGAAGACACCGCAGCGAGCGCATAGCACCCCCCCCACCACCACCACCACCAACGACGACGACAACACCAGCAACAAACGCGGAACCAACAACAATAACCCATCTAGGGCACATACCGCAAGGCGGTGAAGAAGATGGCCAAGGAGCGGGAGGGACTCAAGGCCAGGGCCAAAGAGGCGGAGGAGCGAGCGAAGGAAGCAATGTACGCCGCCCAGTGGTGATTGGCGTGGTTGGGCTAGTTTCTCGGTCAGCGGCATGCGTCAAATTATCCCAAGAGAGTTAGCTCTCACGGATTTGTATCCCCGAGAATAGCTTGCGCCGGATTTGCGACCTCAAGATGGATCGCGGCATGCTGCTAGCTGTGCCGAGGTTGTTCTCCTTGAATATTCGACAACGAGCAAAGAAAATGCTATTGCGTAGCTAACACGTCGAGGGACAGATGATTCCCCAACGGATTTTCGTTGGATCGACACGTGTGTAGCACGGCGTGACGCAAGAGGTCTCGGCCTGCGGGCTGCGGGTAGTTGCTGCGCACATGGAACAACAGACTCTGTGCTACACAATCTGATACACCTGTGGACAGAGAGGCTCGCGAGACATGTTGTGCATCGTGCCTTACACGAATGGTTTGCATGTCCGCTTGCATCTCGACACCACGAAGGGCAACGTTAGCCGAGTCAAAGAAGGACGCGGAGGAGGCCGTGGTTGTGGCGGCCACGAGGGAGGAGGCGTTTTTGTTGAGGGAGGCGGCAGCGGGAGAGCGTGCCGCCGCGGCTGAGGGGATGGCGCGGCGGTGGGAAAAGAAGGCCGACGAGTTGGCAATGGCTCTGAGCCAGAAGGTGAACGGATTCGAATATTCAGAGAAAAACACAATATTTATTGTATTGCGGAAAATGTACCATGTACATGGTGGCTGAGGACAAGGATTGAATAGGCGATATGAATGGGGTGGAACTTGTCGTTGATAAAGCTCGGAGGCTTGCGGAAAAAAGTGTCCGACGACCTGTTGCGCTGCTTGTAGAGGTCATGAGGGGCCTTATCGATCGATGCTCTTCATGGCACAACTGTACAACCAGTGCCGATGTTCGGCGTCTGGTGCATCTGGTGCATCTAATTCGGTATGCATGTGTGAGACCCCAGAACAATATATTTGTAAATTATTCCAACGCAACAGGCTCGTTATTGTTACAGGTCGAAGAAGGGGCAGAGGCAACTAGGGCGAAGGTGGAAGCCGAGCGACAGTTGGACCAGGTACTCCAGAAGACAACGTATCAGAAATAGGAACACACATCACACATGGTGCCGCTGTACGCATCGACGTATCGGGGGTCCGTCGACTCTGTTTGCTCGGGAGACTTAGTTGCCGCACGGCAATATTTGAACGTTGACGAACGAGATGCTCACGTTAACACTTCACGTGTTCTTAAAGCGTAGGCATTATACGATTTATAGAATGTCGACGGTATGTGGTGTGGATCGATTCCCCTACGACCCAAAGGCAGGCGCGGGCGCGTGGGGCCGGAGCGAGGTCACACTTGAGTGCAACGTTTTGAACGCATGGCATGTTCCAACAGACCGGACAATCTTCCCCCCACGATCACCACAAAAACATTCATGACAGTCCCGGAAGGATGTGGCGGGACTCAGGGCGGAGGTTGAGCAGGGAAAGAGGGCCTTGGCCGACGTCTCCGAGGCGATGACTTCGTCCGAGAGAACTCTAACGACCGAGAAAGACCGGGCCTCTCGCGCCCAGGTGAAGGGCTCACGTGTAGGGTTAGACTTTACTACAAATTCTGGCGATCGTGCACGGCGTTGACCGTTCGCAGGGAGTAGTGCTGCTAACGAATTGCCCTCAGTATTTCTCAGCAGCGGTGTTTCTGTTCTGGTTTTCCTTTTCGACATGTCAGCCCCTACCGTGCCCCATCGTGACCTCAAGAGGGATGAGTGAATCAGTGAATGGAGAGAACAGTCGGAGCAAATGGATGTTTCTTTTGTTTTCCATCACAACGAGGTTTCGATACGACGAAGAACCTCCGGCGGGCTGGGTGTAAAGACTTCGCGCCGACCATACTCGCGCTACACATCATCGCCGATTGCATGCTGGCATCGATTAGCGTGTTTGCACGTGTTCGTCACCTCGTCCTCTTCAAACCCTCGAACGCACGCTTTGGCACGCGGCAGCGCGGTTATGAACCACCATTTTTTATATGCCAACGACAAGCTTGTCGTGAAAAACAGTATTGAAGTGTGGGGTGAAAAATCGGTATCTGTCCATTCAACGCGGCAGAGCACCGGACACAAAACTCTGCGACTAACTTGGTGCGAACGGGCGCACGCGATAATGTCGCACTCGTCTTACTTGCGACGCGCGTTGCAGGCCGTAGCGTCGGCCCTCCGCGCGGAGGTCGAAACGGGAAAGGCGGAGCTGTCCGCCCTCACGGAGACAGTGGCGCTGCTGGAGAGGCAGAAGATGGAGGTGGAGCTGGGCAGGTACTGGTTTTATTGCAATTTTTGTGGAGATTATTGTCCCATAGGTCTCTAGGGGTGGCCATGTCCCCGAATCGTAGCTCATCGGTTCCGCAGTCGAACTAGTTTGTCGGTACTGCGAGGGACCGTGATGAGGTGATGCTCTTATGGATTTTTTGGGATACATCATGTGATTACGGGTACGAATTATCTCTCGAGGAGACGACGAACACGTGTTTGGTCGAGAGGTTCTGACGCGGACGCAACCTCTCTTTCTTTGACAAGAACAGACTAGCGCGCGGGTACACACTGAGTCCTTCCCTCCCTCGTTCTCACCCCCTTCCCCTCCCTGCCTGCGCAAGCGAGTTGCTACACACGAAGAATGGCGAGCTTGAGGCTGCCTTGGCGGAGGAGTCTGCCCGACGGTCTATGGCCGAGGGCAGAGGACGGGAGCTCGACAAGTCGATGGCCTCACTGTCCCACGAGCTCGAGGTGAGGCGTCCCGTTCGAGTCGATAAAAATTCGGCCACCTGGAGCGGTGTACAATTACGGGAGTGCTGTTGTTCATTTCACGAGTTTTCGGCAAGAGAAAGGGGACAGGGGGCGCCTACTACCCGGGAGGAGGCGGCGGATCGAGAGATGGGGCTGTGCACGTCCCCACGAGCGCGAGGCGGAAGACTTATGCGTAGAGAAGAAACGCCGGGAGAGAGCGGAAGGAGCAGTGTTACGTCGTCTTGGGGTGTTCCACTCGATTAGAGTGAGGGGTGGGGTGCCCGTTGCGTGGGGATTCTCCTCCACAGCATACTTCTTAACATTTCCACGGGGCGACCCGTCGGTATTTTTTTCATGTTCGGAGAGGCTATGTGTGTTTTTGGGTTTATCGAGTGACGGCGTATGTGTCGCAATGATTCTCGAAGGGGTGTGCGTGGCGAACAGAAAGATCTCTTCAATATTTGTGCTGATAGCCATGGCGACTTGCTGTCCACATGTGGGGCTTACAACTCTCTCGCTTTGGTTCATGTTGTGGTCAAGAGCTTGATGACTCGCTTGTGCCGGACGCTCAAGCTACCCGACTTTAAGTGCTATGTGGTTGTGACATTCATTCACCGTGCGATTTGCTCGGTACGAAAACAAATTGCAGACCCTGCGATCGTCCCTGTTCGAAGCGACGGGGGGCAAATCCGCGGCAGAAGAGCGGGCCAGACAGCTCTCAGCGGCTCGGCAGGAGGCAGACGATCGGTTGGAACGAGCGATTCAAAAGGTACATCTTGATGCGATTTACAAAGCCTTGTGGGTCTTCAATATCGCACATCATGTTGGGGCAATAATCTTCGCAAACAGCACTAGCGAGCGACCAACCATTGGGTATTTTTCGTGCTGCTCTATTTTTATGGCTCATCGAGGTTACTAACGTCGGTGTTTATCTGCCTTTCCTAATTGTACATGTCTACACGTGAAAAGGTTTCTGCCCTGGAAACCTCGAACGATTTCCTGAGGGAGGAGCTCGCGGAGGCCCGGCAAGAGGCGGGGGTCGTGGAAGCGAGGCTGAAAGAAAGCCTCGCAGGGAGCGAGGTAAAGAGAGAGAGAGGAGCGAGGCGCGTGTCTTCTGGTGCGGTGCCATTACTGTTGTCGGTTTGGGACAAGACCGAAGAAAATGCGGATCGTTCGCGACTTGCAGGTGATAGTACAGACGCTCATGACATACATGCCGCTATTTATTCACTTTTCCCTCCTCGCCGACCGACTGCTACATCCAACACTACCGACAACTTCCCTTGGAGGACAGGCGCTCAACAAGAAGCTCTCGGCAGGGGAGCAGGAGGCCGGGGACCTCAAGGAAGGTCTGAGCAGAAGAGACGCGGAGGTGGCCGCACTCAAGGCGGAGATTGCAAGAAATGCCGCAGACATGCAGGCCGAGGCCGAAAAGGCCGAGCAGGAGCTGAATGCTGTCCGAGAGGAAGTGGCGGGCCTACAAGCGAGGTGACGCTTGGGGTCGGGTTGGAGGGGATTTGTCAAGGGAAGTCTCGAAGTGCCGTTTTAGTTTCTACTGCCAATATCGTGTTTTCCTCCCACGGAATCAACCAACTGCGAAGCCACAGCTTGTTTGCTATTGGCTTGTGTGATGGGTGCAACCCAGGTGGTCTATGTACGCATGTACTGCACATACGTATTGACAACGGGGCGTTCAAAGCAAACGACAGTCGACGGATGAATAACCGAAACTTTGCATTCCCTTGGACTTGGTAGGTTGGAGTTACAGTCCAACGAGTCGGAGCAAGCACGGGAGCAGCTAGAGGCCCGACACGCCGAGGCAACTGACCGGGCAGCGCGGGAGCTGCGTGAGGTGTGTGCCGCTCATGACTCGGAGATGGCCAGCTCCAAGAGCGAGGCGAGTGAGCGGCATCAAGGCATCCTCGACGAGCACCGGCGGGAACTTGAAAAGCTCACTTCGAAGATGGAGGAGCTGCGGGAGTCGAAGGAACGTGAGGTAAAAACCAAATGCAAGGGGGGAGAGAGAGCGCGGCAAGTGAGGGGTTCTGTGGGCGTTACGGAGTTCAGAGTAGGCGTTTCGCGTGAAGCGCCATCCAGCGAGGGGATTGTGCGCGTAGTACATCTAGTCCAATGAGCGCCTTGATTGTTTTTCCTTGTGTTTGCCGCGCTTCGGCGTGCACATGCACGTACAAACACGCAGGCCGCGGAAAAGGACCTACAGCATACAGCCGCCCTGAGAGATGCGGCAGCCGCAGCGGCCGAGCGAGAACGACTGGCGGGAGAAGCGGCGGCTGTTGATGCCGCCAGGGACGCGGAGGCCCTGCAGCGATCGCGGGACGAGGAGGAGAAAAATCGACGCGAGAGCCTGCTCCGCGAGCAGCGCGCGGCCCTGGAGCTGGCCTCCGGCACGGCGGAGAGGCTACTGCGGGAGGCGCTGGAAGCGCGGGGCCGGGAGGCCGATCGCCTGCGCCAAGAGCTGGAGGAGGCAAGAGCCAGGTACGCCGCCGAAAGGAAAGAAGAAGAAGAGACCAGGAGCAGGCTAGAGAAGGGACGGGAGGCGGAGAGGGAGAAGGCCCAAGCCGCCGAGGTCGACGCGGCCCAGCGGGCGCTAAGGGAGGCGCTGGCGTCGCAGGCCAAGGAGGCCGATCAAGAGCGGGAGAGGGCGTGCTTGGACCTCGCGGAAGCGGCGGAGCGGCGGCTCCAGAGGGCGGTCTCTGAGGTGACTCGGGAAGCGGAGCGAGCGGCTACAGAGGCGGCGGCGGCAGCGAGAGAGCGAGAGCTGCGGTTGGAGGCCGTGAGCAGAGAAACCCTGCGGACGGAGCTGGCGGAACAAAGGAGGCTGCTGGAGGAGGAGTTTTCGGAGAGGAATGCGCGGGCGGAGGAGGAGCGGCGGGCGGCGGCGAGAGCGGCGGAGGAGGAGGCCGAAAGCCGGTTCACGGAGAGGGAAAGGGAGGCCTTGGAGAGGGTGGAGGGGGTGAGGGGAGCCGAGGCCGCCACGGCAAACAAGCAGCTTCGCGCCCTTAGCAGGTATTTGTTGTGTATGAGGTACGATGGCGCTACCCCAACGTACTGCCAACAAACGCCGATCGTTTTCTCACGAGTGGAAGACGAGCACATCCTTTCGCCCATGACTTTTCTGGTTGAAAGGGGGGATAGTACTACCCATTGAATCCTCCAAGGTCTGGACACCAAGCGGGTGGCAATACCAGAAGAAGATATTTACATACATACGGTTTGGAGGATGTACGTGACGGGTATATTGATGCGTAGCCAGCACGAATGCAGCTCTTCTAGGATTGAAGTGGGGTGTGACTCCTAACGAGGTAGATTGAGATTGATTCCCCTTTTCAAGAACTCGGCCTTTGGTGTTTCGTCCCCTGAAACGCCAGGAAAGTGGTCCAGCTGGAATCGGCGAAAAATGAGGTGGAGGGAGCCTCCCAGCGGGAGTCGGAACGTTTGAGAGCCGCGCTAGCTGCTGTAGAACAGAGGTATGTCGGCTACAAGTCTCCGTCCAACATTGTTTCGTCGCACCTCTGCGTGCCAGGAGAAGATACATACGGGCGATCACGATTTTTCCTCTTTTTTGAGTGAAGTGCTGCTGACGGGAAAGACGGGCAGGCGCGCTCGCAGAGTACGCGTACAGAACGAGGAGCACCCATACAGGCATTCCAACTCTTCATGAGCCTACCTTCTCCGCCTTTGTTCTGTTGTTGTTGGCGGTAACGGTGGTCGCGGCTGACCCATGACGCCGACAGATCGAAGGAGGCCGAAGATCGCGAGATCGTTGCACTAACGGCTAGGGACGAGGCTTTCTCGGTGGCCAAGGAGGAAAGGGGAGAAAAAGAAAAGGCTCAGAAGGCGCTGAGGGCCTTCCGAGAGGAGGCTGCGAGGGAAGGGGAAGCGGTTACGGAGGCGCTAAGGGCATCGCGAGAGCAGGCCGAGAAAGCCAAGCAAGAAACGAAGGCCGCGGAGGAACTAGCCAGGGTCGCTCGAGAGAACGCTGCCGAGGAAAAGAAGACCGCCACGGAGGCGTTAAGGGCATCCCGAGATGAGGCCGCGAGACAGAAAGAAGCGGCGAAGGAGGCGCTGCGGGTCTCCCTAGAGCAGGCCGAGACGGAGATTGTTGACAAGGAGGCGCTGAGATCCTCTCGGGAGAATGCCGAGAGGAAACGGGAAGAGGCTGAGGAGGCGCTGAGGGTCGCTCGAGAGGAGGCCGAGACGGCGAAGGAAGAAAAAAAGGCTGCGGAGGAATCGGCCCGGGTCTCTCTGGAGAAGGCGGCTAAAGATAATGAAGCCCTCAAGGAGGCGCTAAGGGTCTGTCGAGAGGAGGCCGAGACAGCGAAAGCGGGAAAGAAGGCCGCGGAGGAATCGCTTGGGGTTGCTAAGGAGGAGGCCGAGAGGGCCCGGGCGTCCGTGAGGCAGGTGTGCAGAGCGCACAAGGTGGTCTTTCCCTCGAAACTATAATTTTAGCTATGTTCGCACGTTTGCGTGACAACTACGGGTGCTCCAGGAAGATAAGCCTCCATATCCAGGACACCCCGCACAGGTGTTCTTATAACATGGTATTGGTACACATCCCAGGATATTTCGATCGATCACAAGCTGAATGGCATGATGTGAACAAGCGCACCATTCGCTTGATTGCCGTTGCCCTACGGCTCTCCCGAGCTCGATTTTGGGGGAAGAATTCTCATTTTCGAAACGGCAAGAATTTGGCTCAACACCTTCCTGAGGGCGTTGTTTTTCTGCTCTGAAAAACTTGTTAGTGCTTTCAGTAACGTGTCAATGAGCTGACAGAGCTTGGATGAAGACAAAGTCGTATAAGGAGCCCCCAGAAAAAGGAATAAGCCAAGAAAATCTGGAAGAAAACTGACAAAGAGCCGAAGTCGACGATTCTACCACCTGATACCGAACCGTGAGAAGGCGTCGGCATTTCTGGGGGCGACCACCTACTCTCGTCATCACGATGATCGAGAAGGGTTCTGCCGCTTGCTCTCATAGGAATTCCTTGAAGCCAACTTCAAGATTGTACGCACCCCTTCGTAGTGACATGATTGCTGTTAGGTGGCCACAATAGCCCCGAATATAGCGTCGACAACGTCAACTAAGACAGCAGAAGCAACGTCGATAGAGCAACAAGGACAACAGCAGCAAAAGCACGGCGTATGTCTGGGCTATACACACTGGCAGCAACGGGCGACATAATTAAATGTGGCCTCAAGGTGTACAACCTTCACCATGCCTAAACCTTGGAGACATTTCAGAACAAATACATGAACGGTTTTACGGTGCTCCATCCGCAGTATCTCCATGAAAGACTGCCATGAAACGACGACGCATCAACAAACAGCCAGAAAATGAACGAAGTCCACTTCCACCCTTCCCCAACTACCCCCAACACACGATTCACACAAAACAGGAACTCGATTCTTCCCTGGAAGAGGCCTCGGCGCTACGGGCAGGTTTCACAGAGGCTGAGAACCGGTTCAACGATGCCGCTGGGGCGGCGGAGGCGACTTGGGAGGAGCTGCCTTCGGAACAGAGGGAGGCCTTCGTGGAGAGGGAGGAAGATCTGCAGCGCCGCGTCCGGGAACTCCAGGAGGTGCGAATTGTTGATGTTGTTGTTGCTGCTGCTGCGGCTGTCGCGGCTGCTGTATCCCATTGAAGTTTTCTTGTCGCTTTGCTACTGTTGGTGGTGGTATTGCTGCTGGAGCTTCCCCAAGACCCCGCCGTGTCTCCCTGTTGTTGTGTATTCCGTACTGATCAATCTCGACGGCAGGAAGCCATCGCAGCGGCGACCGAGCACGAGGCAGCACTGACCGGGGAAAGAGCGGCCGGCCTCCAAAACCTGCAGTTGGAAAAGGTGATGACATGAGAAGATTGAGAGAGCAGCACTGGAAAGAAGCACGACAGTAGACACAAACAAGGGAAAATGAATCAACACAACTTCAAACGTGCATGTTCGTGTAGACCACGCGGACTATTTGAAGTGTCTTGCATGTCTTCGAGCAAGACCGTTTGTTGCTCACTACTACTGTGTCGAACCGGCTTCAGCTCAGAACCCTGTGCGCTGACGCCGGAATCTCAAGTAATTGCGCCTGGATTACCCTTTCGTCGACTTTCTGGCGAGCAGTGCATAGCTCTACATTTGCAGAAAAACGCTTGTGTTTCGCCAGCACTATCCGAAAGGGCGCGGGCTTCGTCTGTCCACGATCGACAGAAATAATATCACGGTACAGCCACGATCGACAGAAACTACTGTTGTGTGGCTCTGTTATTCTTCCTCTTTGTTTCATTCCCTCTGTCTGTCTGTCTGTCTGTCTGTCTGTCTGTCTGTCTCTCGGCCGTCTGCAGGAGGAAGCAGCGAAGCGCGAGCAAGAGCTGGAAGAAAGAGCTTCCGAGCTTGAAGGGATCGTGGAGTCGCTCAGGCAGGACCTCGAGGTGGGCCGGGGTGGAATATGGTAGAGTTGGGTCGAGAGGTTTGGGAGCGTCGAAAAATGAACGGACAGATGAGAACGTCATGCCCCGCACCTACGTGTAGAGCAAGCAGCTTTTTGAAAGGGGAAACGTGCCCAACATTTTATCGGTTTTTGGCTTACGTTTCGTGAGCAGGAGGCCGTGGCGGAGAGAGACGAAGCCGAGTCAGCGGTCCAGAAGAGAGGGGATGGGGTGCGGCAGCGGGCGCTAGGCCTGGCGGCGGAGCTTCGAGAGGAAAGGGCACTGAACGCTCAGCTGAGGGCCGCATCGGAGGAGGGTGAGTGCATTATGCCTCTTCGTGCCCTCAAGCAAATCGACCACAGCAAATGCCGGAAAAAACACAGATTGAAACTAAGGTAACACAAGGGGTCCATCCGTTGTCGTTCAGTTCACACATCGCACGCCATCTAGACAAGGGCACGTCCCAAGCTTGCGGGCGGCAATGGGCCTGACATGTCTCGATCTAATGCTGTATGCACTTCGTTCCTCGTGAGATTTTCGTTGCCGCACCCAAAGGTGGTGGTCACACTCGCGTCGCTCTTTTGACGGTCGCTTGTGAGAATCCGCCTCTCCTGAAATAATATCACGGTACAGCCCTCCACACGAATTAGTGGCGAACGCGAACGTGATGGTTGCGTTTGCCCATAGAGAGGAGGACATGGGGAGAAATATTCCCCCCATCATTACCCTCTAGAACGACCAGATTCAAGGAGAAGCGCGAAACGACCCCTCTGTGCTGTTCTCTCTCGCGGTAGGTTAACCTGTCGTTATGGGCTTCGGCATCCGACTCTGCGTGGAGGCTTGTTTCATGTTCGGTATGCCGTAGCCGATCGTGTGTGCGGTTGCTGTGGCGGTGGTTAGGGAATGTCCATGATGTTGGTTTTGGGGGATTGTTGTGGATGCTGATGATTTCGTTCCCTCTGATATGCTCAACCCGGGAGTAGACTTACACCCCCGGTGGCTTGACACCCGAAATCGCAATCTTGCAACCTGTCTTGAATCTTTCTATGTCCAACGTGTGCATCGTGCTTCCTCCTGTGTATTTATTATGCACATCGACCGCGCTAACCGTAACACACAACACTTCTAAACGCAAACTACGACCCCATGAGGGGGCAGTGTTGGGGAGGCTAAGCTCTTCTCCGGCTTAAACGGCAGAAACGGTAGCAACAGAAGAGATCTCCGCGTGCTTACCAAGGCTGCTGCCTTTCACTCGAATTCGTTTTTGGGAGCTAGAAGTTCTTCCTCTCGTCCACTCCACGCTCCCCTCCTCCATTGCTGTGTGTGTGCATGTGTGTGTTCAGCTGCTCTGGACGCAGAAGAGGTCAAAGTGGAGATGGCGTCACTGAGGGCGAGGGCAGCGGCGCTAGAGGAGGACAAGCGAGCCTTAGAGGAGGCCGAGCTGCCCGACCTAAGAGGTATGGCATCGCTGGTGATGTCATCATCGTCGTGTTCGTCGTCGTTATTTTTTATTGTCGTTTGTTGTGTTTTTGGGTTGATCGTGTTGCATTTGACTGTTACCGCTATCTCCATCCCTTGATAGCGCCGACTTGTATTGCCCGTTTGAAACCAAGTCGAAATTTGGGGCGCACTTGGTTGGCGACTAGCAGTGTAACCGAGGTTCCTTGAACGCCGGGGTGAATGCAGTTACACGAGTCTTGAAGATGATTGCGGTTCTTTCAGAACTCTGCTCAAAAGAAACTACCGATTCCTCTCGGCTTCCATTGGGTCTTAGAGAGTAGTGTCTCCGTGGGTGCGGCCCAGCTGTCAATGACGATCAGCCTGAAAGAACACAACGCATGGGCCCGAGGACCGACTGTTCTTCCGCTAATTTTTTTCACCAATCTGTGTCTCCCTACTCCTGCGACCAGCTCGACCAGAAGAAAGTTGTGGATGTGCTGGGCAGACAATGGAACGATGTCTTGCGGAGAGATAAATCAACAGCGGCCGTATCCGTAAGCCGCGATGAAGCATTTCTTGTTTTTCGCAGGTCGGCGGAAAAGCGGAAAAAGCTTGGACATATTTCCACCGACCCGCGGAATGACGCTCCCCCCTTCCATCCCTTGGTCCTTTTGATTCCTCCCCGAATATCGCCCCCCCCGGCACTCGTATGGCAAGCCCGTCTCGAGGAGAAGGACGCGCAGTGCCAGCGCCTAGCCACGGCCAAAAAGGAGGCTGTAAAGCACGTGCAGGAAGAAATGGCGAGAGCAAGGTCCGTTGTTGTTGTTGTTGTTGTTGTTGTTGTTGGTTTCGTCTTCGTAATTGTTGTTGTTGTTGCTGCTGCTGCTGGTGCTCTTGGTTGTCGTTGTTCATGTTGCTCCTTCCGCTCCAACCGACGTCCAGAGATGCGAGTACGCGGATTTGTGGAGGTTGTCGTGTACCAACGGGCGCGATGTTGTCATTATGCTGGAAACGAAGGGGAATGGTTGTAATATCCCGCGTGTACTTAAGACTGTATCCTGTCCCGGATGTTGTTGAACCAGGCCAGAACGGTTGTGAACGATGACTACCGCACCAACAACGGGCAAGGGCCTTCAAATATGGCCTTGTCCCCCTCGCCCATTTAGCGTGTTCTAGGTATGGACGAAAGCAACTCATGTGCCGGGCATCGCACAGTCGATCGAAAACAGTCAAAGCCTTACATGAAAAGATCCCCAGCTCCCTCTCCGTTCCAACTGACCCGTTTACCTTGGAAAGGGTGAGCAGTTTCCCCCCGAGGCGTGCGGCAAATGCACAATGAGGCCTTGTTTCAGCTCAACATCACAGTCTTTAACTCCCCCGCCCGTGTTCGCTCCTCTCCCCCTATCCCATACGCAGTGGGCTCGAGCGGGAGGTGGAGCGGCTGAAGTCGGCCCTTCGCCTGTCCATTGCCACCGTGCAGCAGCACATCGCGTCCGCAGACCCGTACAGCCCGGCAGCGCTCCTCGCCGATCCGGCTTCCACGCTGGCGCACCGCCTCAATTCCTCAATGCAAAGCAGTAGCAGCGGCGGCGGCGGCAGTGGCAGTGCGAGGAACATCGCGAGTGAAGGAGGTGCCGGGGGCGGCGGAGGGGCCGCCCTTGGTGGGATGCACACCGAAATGGATGCACTTGACCCAGAACCTGCCGTTGGTGCTTCTGCTGCTTCTTCCGGAGTTTCTTCAAATTCCGCAACGACTATTCATGGGACTACGGCTGACGGCTAGGGTTGGAGTCGCCAGGGTTATACCACCACAGGACATATTTCAAGGCTAAATACTACCTTGAACCACTACACTTTCATCTTGCACACAACGGCGACGAAAACGGCAAGACGAAAAAATGGGTAAGAGTGCGCGTTCCCTTGGTGGCGAACCTCTTAGCATTGCGCAACACAGCATTTTGCTGCTCTTCAAGGGGCAGTGGCAGGAGAGAAGAGGGCGTATGGTCGTCATGCTCCTGACTTGTGCGCTCCTTGCCGGGATATGTGCTTGTGCAGGAGATGCGGCAGGCAATAACACCGCAGTAACCTGTTTCTTACGCATCTGCAACTTTTCGTCGGGTACTTCGAGCGCAAGAACAGTTGTATCAAAATGCGATATGCGATGCGGTTTGTGTCTCGGTGACATACCAGCGTCAACCTTCCCATCTTACCCTGCGTGCTGAGTGTATTGTGTGTCACCTGCCGACACCATCGGGATCTTTGATTCTTGTTTTTGGCGATCTGCGCACGTGAGTTATTCCGGCAAGAAAACAGCAAGAGATCATTCTCAACAAATTGGACTTTCTGGGTTAGCTGGGGCAATTCGGCTGGATAAAGGGATGGGGCCGGGGTTCTATTTTAGGAAACACATCTGTTGCTGCTAATTTGGACCAAGGACGAGGAGACGAGGGGTGGGTTGTGCCATGGGACAGGTGGCAATGAGTTGAATACTTCCGCAACCGCCATGCACCAGGTGGTAGCAGACTAGCGTGTAGGAAGAAGGGCGGGCCCAAGAAACAACGTTCACAACACGACATTACTGCTCACTTTCACCAGCTCAAGTGCTCTAGCTGCCAGGTGAACGTCTCTCGCGAGTGTGCCGAGTTTGGCTGGCCTAGCTTGTAAATTTGATAACGCGAACGCACCATTTAAATGCAGTAACCTCCAACTCCGCGTCGTTGTTCCTCTGAAGCATCCGACGAGCAGGGATGTCCTACGCCGGGAATGCCGCAGTCATCTGCGCGTCTTGCCTTGCTCCTTCAGGCTTGGTAGATGGTGTGTGCTCCACAACGCGGCGAGGTTGGTTGGATGGCAAAGCAAGGGACGCAAAAAAATGTTCCGGGGTTGTCATTTGAGAGTACTCTACCGGCGTTGCGCATTTCCGCAAGGGGACCTGAGGTTCCATAGGCCAGACAAATCGATTCATGTACCCTCCCAACCCAAAGCATACCCGAAAACAGTTTCAGAGACCTTAGCGCCGGGTTGGGAGTGGGGCTATTAGAGAGCCTGAGAACGGTCTGTAGGCGCTGATCAATCACCCCATTGTTCAATTCGCGGCATGGTCTGTTCGATGGTTCAACTTCAAACTAAGGACGACACCTACTTTCGTTGGCACAACGACGAAGAGGAGAAAGAGGCAGGCAAGAAAAATCACACCACCTGCCTCTCGATGTTTGCCAAAGCCGACGGGTGCCAACGGTACCCAAGAAAGACAGCCATCCTCAAAGTTAACTACTGAGGGAGTGGGCGCACAGAACCAGGATGTGATACACAATGCTTTGGAGGGCGTGGAGGCCTGCGCTGGACGTAGCATGTTTCATATAGCAGCAGCTCTTGGTACTGATCGACACGCAGAAATCTCATAGCTCACAGCATGGTCCTTTCAATGGTTCAGGCCTCCGCTCTAGAATGTAACATGTTCGTGTCGCGACTCACCCCGTTACAATCACCACTTCGTCACAGGGAAGAAAAGTCAACCCACCTGCCTCTCGATGTTTGCCAAAGCCGATGCGCGCCAACGGTCCCAAGAAAGACAACCATCCCCAACGTCAACTACCGAGGGAGTGGTCGCACAGAACCAGGATGTGATACACAATATTTTGGAGGGCGTGCAGGCCTGCGCTGGACGTAGCATGTTTCATATCGCGGCAGCTCTCGGTACTGTTCGACAAGCAGAAATCGCAACACTCACAGCATGATCCCTTCAATGGTTCAGGCCTCCGCTCCAGAATATAGCATGTTCGTGTCGTTACTCACCCCGTAACAACCACATATTCTATCACAACGACGCAATAGTAACTCCGCGTTTGCCACAACGTCACCGTGCTTCGGGAACAAACGCTTAAGACGTCGCTGTAGATCAGTGTTGAATTTGAGCAACCAATAGTCTAGATCATGGAGCGGTTCTCGCCTGGGAAGAAGGGGGGTCCAAACGCGTGTCTTCGTCGTTGTTGGTCTCTCAGGAATGTCGTTGTCAGTCTGGTTCGATGATTGAATTGGTAAGCATGGCAGACAGAGGGACAGATGGATAAGAAAAATAGCGGTAGCGTGACGATCGAAGGTGGCATATTGTGCAAGATGAACGCGCAACCACCGTGAACTTCCTGTTCGGCTGAAAGCTCGGGTTCTAACGTACCAACCGTCAATCTGTCAGCACTACGCGGGTAACATGATGGTGGGAACCTGAACAAGGTCACAGATGAGTTGATACTCTGTGACTACCGTCCGATCTGCGGTGTATCCCACGAAGCTTCACCTGTTTCTTGATGCGATCGACCGTGAAGCCTGTGGACAAAAACTGCTCGGGTGCTGGTCGGTCTCAGTTGCACACTTGAACAAGCGAAAGGTGTTGCAGCGGATAAGTCACAATGTGACAAGAGTCCTGCGCTGCTGACGGAAGTTCTAAGTGGAAACGAATATCGCGTGTGCGTCCGTGTGACATTATCCTTGTGTTCCTCTTGTGTGTTGATCGATTGTTGCACCGACTCAAGCACGGTCTCGGCCGAGTTTTTGTTTGTTGTTTGATGGAGATGTAGTCTACATTGCCTCCGCCACAACCGATCGAGGGGAACTCGGGAATCTCGCCCCGAGTAAAGGTTTGGGTGCTCCCAACAACGGAGGTTCACCCGTGTGTTTTACCTGCTGACTTTCTGGCACGCATACCTCGCAGCTCCAACCAACCGTCGTTCCTTTCCCCGTTCGTGTCGTGAACACCACCGTCTCCGAAGAAGGAAGCCCGTCGCTTAGTCTATTTAGACTTCATGCTTTGACCGCCCTCGGCTCGGAAGTGGGATATTCCGATCCTCAAGACTCCACCCCCCCGGTTCATATCGCAGAAAGAAGGCTCCTTCGTCTATCGCTGCTGTCCATGCGGTACCCAGCCTATGCTTCCCCCGCTATGGCCGAGATGGCTGTTTAGTGTATCGCTGCTGTCCGTGCGCAACCCAGCTGTCATGTGTCTGTTCGTTGCGATCTGGCGGTTTAATAATTTTTTCGAAAACGGGTGAAACGTCACATCACATCCCCCTCGTGAACCTGATTCACCAACCGTTGTCCCCCCATCTCAGATGCCTTGTGAAATGTCCAGACGCCACCGGTCACAATAGCGGGACGGTAGGTGACGGGTGGGCCGAGTGCAAGAGAGATCATTCACAGCGTGTGTCGCTCTCCAGGGCAAGGGGAAGTGGTAGACAAAAGGGATGCCTCGCGAGGCGCCTTCGCGCAAGGTTACTGGGTTGTCAGCAGGTTTCGCGGCAGAACCTCGGCGCGGCGAAGATCGTTGTGCTCCAGCTCTTGGCGTTTCGGCTGCTGCCGCGGCGGAAGGGCAACAACAGCAGCATGGGCACAAGAGCCAGGAGCAGAAGTATCGGGGAACAAAGGAACAGAAAGGTGATTTCGTGGTTCTACTGTGTGTACTTACTTCTCCGCAGGTATCGCTTCTATTGATTGCTGTAGTCGGTACCAACATGAACATGCATAGAGTCTACGTGTCATCACATCATGTGTCAAAGCGGAGATACTGCAGATATGTTATCACCGGTACGGCGGCCGTGATGTGCACCAGCAACAGCAGTTTCGTTGCAGAGGGGAGCATGAGCGGCATATTGGCATCGAGGATCCAGCACCTAATATCGAAGACAGTAATGTCGATTTGACCTGTGGATCTATGGCATGATACATCAGCCTAGACAGCTTGCTTCGAGGGTGTGGTGCACCGTACACTGTTTGCAAAGGAGGGGACATTTGAATTTGTTGCCACCACGGTTCTGGCGTAGATTGCATAGTCTGCCGGTCTTGCCGGTGAGTTTCCCGAGCACGGACCAGCACGAGTTTACCCAAATAAAAACACCGACGTGTAACGAAGCAGGGGATACCGTGGTGGTTGACAGAGTAGACGCTTCCCGGGGCGCCCTGGATGTATTTTTCTCAACCAACCGTGTCCCTTCGCATGTACCTACAGAGTAGGTACGGCAGTAGCTCTGGGCCGTTGTTCACAGGACCCATGGCTGATGCATGCTCCGGGCTTTGCTCTGGGCTTTCACCCCCCGGGAAGATGAGTACAGCACGAAAGAACATGCCAACCATGGCTTGTTATCAACAGTCAAAGCCAACTATTATTGTACTGCATGTACCACACTTCGGGTTGTGTATATTACAGCACTGCGGTATAACTCCCCTTATGACGCCATTTTCGACAAAAAATATAGCCTTTCTCCCACTCGCCTGTTTTCCAGCTCGGGGGCAGAGCACTAGACTAAATGTTGCTGAACAAACAGCAGTGGGGCTGGTCAGGACACACGCCGGGTGCGTGCGTTTTTTCCGAGGAGGGCAGTTTTATGTACATGTGGGGTTTGAATATACGAAGGAAGCACCAAGGTTGTTGCGGGCAAATATCCAGTGGACAATGCGGGATGATTAACTCCCGATTGAAGGATAAAGCAGGGGACAGGACCTTTGCACACCTATTTTTGTAGGGACTTGATCCCCCGCCCTATTTGCCCAGTACTTACCTTTGAGCGAGGCCGTAGTCTAACAGAGAGCATGTCGACAGCATGCACTGCTGTCCCACAGGAGTAAACTACAGGTGAGCCCACCATCATGGGTCTTCCAGATTGCACAGCTTGCGACAATCCCTTTACATTAAATCTAATCACCTAACTTGAGTGGATTGACAGGCACAGAAGACGACCACGAGATGAAGGACCGTTGATTGACGTTTTGAATTATTCCGTATTCAGCCGGGCGGTTCTTCAGCTCTTCGTTCACGATTTGCGGCCGATCTCCAACCGCTGCATTCACGTCCAGTAGAGAAGTCGTTTGCGCCGGGTAGACCCCAAACGTAGTCCATAGCGGTGTAGACGTCGTGCTCCTGTACCACCATGCACAACATGCGCCGTCCCCACCGTTCTTCTTTCCCTGCTGTTAGGCGCTTGTCGAGTACTCCTCGTTAATGCCAGAAACGTGTTGCCGACGATTGCTTGCAACGTTTACGCCCACCAGATGCATGGGCCAACATTTCGATCTGCATGCAGTATTACCAGAACACGGTGGTGGTGGAGTATGTGATGAACCTCGTCTGGGAAACGGTGCCCCGGTGCTACGGGGATACGGGCATTCGCGAGGTTGCTGCGAAGGCCGGGGTCCAGACGGCGTTCCAGGTGACTTTCAGAGGTTGAAGCGCGGGGCGTGCTTGTGTGCCTCTCCGTGAAGAAAGACAGGGCAGGACGAGAGCACGCCGTTGAGCGAGATATTACGAGGGGGAGGGAAGGAGGGAGGGAAGGAGGGAGTTTGAAGATATGCTTTCAGTGCTTTCCGAAAATAGAACCGTGTGCAAACCGGTCGCTAAGCATTCGACTTCAGTCGTGTTCCTTTGGATTAACCTTGCTCCCCAAGGCTGTGTTCCATTAATGACGGGACCAAAGCAAGACTCGGTAAGGTAGTTCAGATCGTGAGTTCTCTCCCAACAGCAACCTGTTGCTCTCACCCTTCCCATGCGGGTTGCTTGAAGAGTACTCAACCAAACCAAGTTCATCGAGTTATGCTGTGATTGGCCACAAAATGTCAACGAACTCGCTGAAGACCGTTCGGTGGGTAACGGCCATGCCCACCATTTTCAAGTACCACACAACATAAGCCCCGGTCGCCCGTCGCTTTCCTACCCTTACGAGCGAAGTTAACTTTGACTTGCCCCCCCGTCGCTAACCCATCACGCCTAACGATTCCACTCAAACCGCAGAGGATGCGAGCGAGGGCAGACCAAACTGAGAGAAAGGTGCTGCAGCACGCTGATCGCTTCCCAAAACCGTTCAGCTTCGCCTCCGTACAGAGTCTGGTGGCCGCGCAGAACAGGTGGTTGTTGTTGTTGTCAGTGTCGTGACTGCTCGTTCGCGTGTATCCACTCAACTGTTCCCCACCAAATACTAAGAGATATCATTTTAGCGCCGCTACCATACTTTTCACCCGAGCCAATTCCTTACCGTTCCCTCACCATCTCGAATCAGGATCGTGCGGGACGAGCTGGTGGCGAAACTCGGAATCGTGGACAGCGAGCGGCTGGAGGAGGTCTTACCAGTCCAACGGGGCCCCGGGCAGCGTGCGATGGTTTCCCACGTGCTGACAGCGGCGATGACGTCCACGAACATCAAGGGAAGCGACATCCGTGCCGTCGCCGATGGAAAAAGCAGCGACGGCAGCGTTGAAGAACCGGTCGATTTCTCCGACGACGCTGCCGACCAGATGTGGCAGGCCGAGCTCCAGCGAGCGCGTCAGGAAGCCGATCTGGACAGGGCGCGCCACGAAGCGGAGACGAAGGCCTTGATCTCCGTCACGGAGCACTGGATGTCGGATGTGTCCGTACACGCCGCCGGGACGGGCAGAAACAGGTGGTGTAGCGCGGACGAATCGCCCCCGCCCCTTCTCTCCGACTCCGATTCCTTCTGCTCCTGCGATGACGACGATGGTGGCGACGAGGACAGCTGGCTGTTTGGAGCCAACGTTGCCGGCGGCGTCCACGCGGCTGCGCGCGGCGGTTGCGCGAAAGACCCCTCGTTGGCTACGACGGGCGTCTTGGGCGGGGCCGACAGGACCGACAGCGACGGCGGAGTTAAGCGGGGGGCGCCCGCGGACAAGAGAGGAAAAGCGAGCAGGAAAGTCGCGGCGGTGTCGGCTATGGCTTCGGCGCATGGAGTAGCAGCCCCGCCTCCTTCTGTGCGTGATGTTGCGGCTGCCGCTGAACCTCGAGCGACCACTACGGATGCTGGCGACACCGGTGCCTCTGGCGCTATGGGTGCCTCTGGTGCCTCCAGCGCAGCCGGTGCCGACATGGAACGCTGGGCGAGTATCAAGCGCTGGGTCGAGGGTGTGGCGGAGGGCTGGATGGTGTCTCACCTGGAACAACTGTGGCACTACTTCCGCGGCAGGATCGACCGAGGTGGGTCTGGCGTTGTGAGGACTAGACGTTTTAAGAAATATTTCTTTATGCAACCTGTCCCCCTTCTCTGTTTCTCGTTCTCTATGCCTCGCTCGCTCTGCCAGCGCATTTCCCGTTCTGGTATGTTGCTGTTTCTTGATAACACTTTGCAGCTCTTGCTGTTGCCACTAACCGTGAACATGGGAACTGCTGTAGGTTTCCCTTGTTGTCAGGTTTTGGCTCTGTTTGCTCTCTCGTAGTCGATGGCATCATCACATTCGGCAACGCCGGAGGGAGCGCAATCCGAACGGGAATCAAACAGCACCAATGACACAAAATCGGCACCAGGTCGTACGTTCCTTCCCGTTTTCCCCTCCCCCCGCTCCGTCAACCCGCCCCCCCGGTGTTTGCCATCGGGGTTGGGTTTTCGTCGCTTGGCAACGACGTTGTAAAACAAGCCGCCCCCCCGGTGTTTGCCATCGGGGTTGGGTTTTCGTCGCTTGGCAACGACGTTGTAAAACAAGCCAATTCACTTCGTGAACTCGGCAACCAGGTTACCGTTTTTTTTTTTTTCCTCCGTTTTTTTTTTTTGGGGGTAACCATAATGGTGGTCGAGTAGATCATGTTGTGCGGGGTGGAGAACCCTCACTCCGCGCAAGGGGGATGATCGCACCACGTTGTGTTAAAATGGTCAAGCACCCTCGAGGCAGTTACACAGTGCTTACAACTGTCTCTGGAAGTGAAAGCACCAGAAAATAAATTAATTCATACGCAGCTGTCATCCGTACGCAAGGAAGTAAGCACAAGATGCCGAACACCCTTAGCAGGATGCAGCGCACCCTTCATGCGACTCGCCGAATATCTCACGGCGCTTCGCGCTTGGTGATGTGAGAGCCTGGTCCGGTGAGAACCCGGCGTGCTCCGTCCCGGCTTTGTAGGGATGCGAGGTCAATGGTCTAACGACTACGACATGCACGACCATGAGTACACCCCCCCCCGCTCCGTCAACTCTTGGTGAACTACCACGGCTCATGTTTCACAAACCCAATGGGGTCAATTCGATGTTTTTGTCGCGAATGCTGCAGCCGTCATCGCTGATATCCTGATGTACCACGAAAACAACGTCCGGGCCACGGTGATCGCCTGCGCGGGAATGCTAGACCCACCTATCGCGGTTACGCCTAGCCAGGTGGGTGAAGATATGCCGCTGTGTTTATACGACAGCAGTCCACCCCAAGGGTCAGGCAGGGATAGGCTCAATGTCAGAGAAGGGCATGAAACAATGCATTTGTTTCTAAGTCAGATGTTGTGGCCCTCGATACCGATCCGCAGCGAACAGGAATGAAGTCGAGGGGGGCACATACCGTCAATTGCGCCTAGTCTATAGTTATCCAAACGCCCATGGTATACCAAGCGGTGGGGGAACCATGTGGTGGAATCAAGGTGACAGACGAGGACTGAAGCACAAGGATGGACACTGTTCTGGCGGTCAACTACATCGCACCAAAAATAAGCAGTCTCCCCCCCCCCTGACCTCAGCTGCTCCATGACATGCCGTTGCCGTGGAATCAGAGTCGCGTGGGGGCGAGTGCTGCTGCTATTGATGGTGGCGTCGCGGGTGGCGAGGCTGGTCGTCGCGGAAACAACGACAACGACGTTGACGAGTCTCACATCTCTGCAATCGTCAGCCGTGCCAACTTCCTGGTCGAAACCGACTGCCAGGTTAGTGTGTGTGCGCAAGGTAGGTATACCGGGCAGGGGGGGGGAGGGCACTCATTGCCATCGTGGTCGCAGTTCTATCCTATTGACCAGTGCGGAGAGTGAGTCTTCCTTCAAGCGGGACGAAATCTACGCAATACATGAGCGTTGATGTTGCGTCAGGCCTTTCGGTTTCGCCACCAAAATTTAACAAAGAACTTGCAAACGCTCACGAAAGCCTTTGCCTTCGATGACTGGTCTGTGAGCGTGTTGGTACATGGAACGTATGGCACTTCCCCCCTGTACGAATGAATCCATCAACATACAACCATGACAAAACGGAATCAGGACGAAGACCGCCTCCAAGCTCTGCTTGACAAGGCCAAGGGCAAGGAGGGCATTAACCCGGTGCGGAAGAAACTCAGGAAAGCGATCAAAGCCCTGGTGAGAAAAAAACTGGTCGACGCCCGCTCCGAAACCGTGCCCGTTGGTTGCTTATCGCGAATGGATGCGTACGCGTGACGGATCTGGGAACACGATTGTCTTTGTCAAAGAAAAAAACAATTAATGTACAACATGCCACCCCCTCGGATCAGCTCTTCGTTTGGTGTAGGCCAGTACATACGTTGTAGGAACTTCCGGTTATCTGATTCTTCCTTGCCGCAATTTTGATTCTTGCCGGGACGTACTCTTGCCGAAAAGTCCATAATCGTTGTGGTTTTCGTTTTTCGCTTCTGTCCATGGTCGGTCATGTACGTCCTCCCAGTCCTCACTTCTCGCACCCTGGGGCCCTTTGCCACTGGTCTGCTGCAGAAGCAAAATATAAAACCCCAGTACCAGCATGGGATGTTTTGGAAAGTCGTGAATGCTGCATGTGCAGAAGCTTCTCCTCCACATGCCCCTGCCTCAGTCCTGCGCCAGTAGCGGGGCCACCAGCGGAACACCAATAACAGAAACGAGCAGCAGCAGCAGCAGCAGCAGCAGCAGCGGCAGCCCAGACAGCTTGTTGCGGGGGGCTTGTAATTGTTTATTCGGTTGTCCCTTGCGCTAACACCGCCTGGGTTTAATGTCAACAGGAGACCTGGTGCAAGGAAGCGACAAATATTGCCAACTTCCTCTCTGAGCTTCTGAACCACTCCCCTATTTCCTGCTATTTCGATGTTTCCTGCAATGACTCATCACAGAAGCAACAGCGACAAGACGAAGGAGACCAGCGGGAGGAAAGAGACCCCCTTGTTGGAAAGCTCGGAGACAGGGAAGAGGAGGAGATGCGCTCGGGGCGCAAACCCACCACGGTCGCTGATTCTGCTCGCGCAAGCGCTGCTGGTACGAGCCATGTCACCGCCGAAGGACGTCGCCATCAGTTACAAGAGCACCAGCTCCTTTGGGACAGAGACATGGCCATCGGACCCAACGGGGGCAAAGGAGTTAGCAGAAGAAGCAGCAGCAGCAGCAGCAGCAGCAGCAGCAGCAGTAGTAGCTGCAGCGGCAACGGGGGCGGCGGTGTCGGCGCCGGCGGTGGTGTTCACGACGAACTGATCAAGCAGGCCAACGAGTTGGTGGCTAACGGGTGCCAGGTGAGCTTCATTCAGCCGACTATTTCCATAGTACCAAACTGATAATGGTGAGCGATGGGGGGCGGGGGGGCGGCCTCTTGAGCGTTTCCTCACTTGCGCGCTGAAGATATATTTTGAGCAGCACTGCGAAGAAATTCCGAAACGTCGGTTAGGCGTTCCGAATTGGATGTTATTGGGCGAGGGTAGCGACTACAATCCGCCGTTTGTGGGCGGGATGCATGTGCAAGCATAACCAACTGAAGTCGCACACACGCGGATGAGCTGTTGCTGCTCCTGAAACGGCACAACACCCCCCCCCCCCCCCCCCCCCCCCCCCCCCCCCCCCCCCCCC